TGCAGCTTGCAGGCGACTAGGAGACATGAAAAGGGCCTCCATCAACGTATGTGTTGTGTTCAACTGCTGTCTTCGTTGATTTTTGCTAGACAAGATCCAGACATTCACACTGTGTAAATTATTATGATCTTCAAAAAGTGAAGGAAAAAAAATAAAGCTTTTATTAATTTATATATATACAAGACTTTAGTCACATGATGACTGCCCCCCCATGGCTTCGCAGCAGCTGCACTAAAAATAATATAAAAAACCATCTCATCAAAATATGATAACACCAAAGGCTCCACTAATGAAACCAATCAACCATACTACCTAAAGTGAGTTAGGCATACTTTATCCATCCTCTTGCTCTCGAGTTCGAGTCTTAATTCCGCAAATTAGGGTAGTTAAGAGAAAAAAAAAGCTCCATACTAAATGTTGTTGAAATTTTGAATGGGCTCCGAAATAGGTTTGAGTTCAGTCCAAATTATTCTGGCCCATTAACAAATCTAATTTGAAATATGGAGCCTGGGCTTTTGCTTGAAACTCACCGACCATGGTTTTGAGCCCAAAGTCGTATCCTCGGTCTGGTCTGGTGTATAGAAGGCTAAGATACTCAACTTCTCACTAACAATGGCGCTGCCACTGTTTTCAGCGAACCCATCCACTACCTGCTCCTCTACTTGCAGTTTCCATGCACCTCATCCTCTGTGCTTTCTTCTTCTACATCATCAAACCCATTCTTTCAAAAGTTGCAGAGCTCTCAGGTTCAGAGTTTCGTGTAAGACTGTTCAAGTTGATACCCAGGAGCAGCCCCAGAGAATCAAAGTAGCTTTTGAGGCCACAAGAAAGAAAAGGAAGCCCAAGCCAAGCTTCTTCGTGCAAATTCAGGACAAATGGTCAATGAAAGTCAATTCCCCGAGAGACAAATTTCCCTGGCAAAAACAGAATGAACTAGTACAAGAAGAAAAAGAGGAGGTGGAGGAGGACGACGAAGAAGAAGAAGAAGAGGTGTTTGAGCCTAAAATAAGCAAACAAGAGGAAGGTCAGAAATGTTATGGGGAACGTGTGGCTGAACCAGTGAATCAGAAAGTGAGTTTTTCTTTGCCAAACCGTATTATTTATGCTCCTTGGGCTCATGGTAGCAAACGCATTACGCCCCAAGTTGATTCTGAGCCTGAAACCTCACAACACAGTGGTGCACAAGGCAAAAATCTTGATGGGTTTGCTGGGCATTCTGAGATTGATACTACAAGTGGTGCCGTTAAAAAAGAGAAAAGCTTTGAGCGGCGATTTGATAGTAATAGAAAATTGGAGAGAGAAAGGGCTGGGGAAGTTGGTATAATTTCGATTGGAGTTTCGAAAAAAGAGGAGAAAATGATCTCAAAAGGCTTAAATGGCGTTTCTTTGGATGAAACACTATCTGGGGATGGTGAAAATGATGAAAAGGTTGAAAACTTTGTGTATTCTGGCAGTGGTTCTATTCGGTTGCCTTGGAAGAGAGAAAGTGAATTGAGTTCTGAGGAAGGTGATAAGACAAGGAAAAGGAGGAGCAACACGGAATTGGCGGAGCGAATGCTTCCGGATCATGAGCTGCGGAGGCTGAGGAATGTTTCTCTGAGAATGCTGGAGAGGATAAAAGTTGGAGTTACTGGTATCACACAGGCATTGGTGAATACTATACATGAGAAGTGGAAGATAGATGAAGTGGTCAAGTTGAAGTTTGAAGAGCCATTCTCACTTAACATGAAAAGGACCCATGAAATTTTAGAGGTTAGTGTTGGTACACTGTTTGCTCTGTTTGTTATTTCGTTCCTCACAATGTGTAGAATTATTCAATCAATTTTGAGGTTTCGATGATTAAGTGATACTTAACTGACATGTATTATCAAAATTATGTTGAAATGGAGATGCATTTATGATATTTGTCATAGGTAGGCTATGCTTTCTCTTTGTATATTAAGATGTTTGCAAGAATTGAGGCCGTTAGCAACTTATTTGGGTTATCTTTTGTTCTCTGCCAGAGTAAAACTGGAGGTTTGGTTATATGGAGATCAGGCAGTTCAGTAGTGTTATACAGGGGAATGACATATAATCTTCCGTGTGTACAAACATATGCCAAACAGAGTCAGACTAATTCACATATGATGCAACACTCAGAAAATGCTACCAGTGATAGCATGCACAATGTAGGTGTGAAAGATGTGTCTAGGACTACAGATTTTCCAAGTCTCGAGTCTGCAGAGTATTTGAAGGATTTATCTCAACAAGAACTCATGGCTTTGAATGATCTAAACCATTTGTTAGATGAGTTGGGTCCACGGTTTAAGGATTGGATAGGCCGTGAGCCATTGCCTGTGGATGCTGACTTGCTTCCTTCCGTGGTTCCTGGATATAAAACTCCCTTCAGACTTCTCCCTTATGGGTTTAGACCTTGTCTAAGAGACAAGGACATGACAAAATACCGTAGGCTTGCTAGAACTGTGCCTCCACACTTTGCTTTAGGTATGTAAGACCTACTGCATATGATTGTATTAAATTACGAAATCTTGTTTTCTTCACATGTTTCGTGTATGATAAATTGTCATAGGAAGGAATAGAGAACTGCAAGGTCTGGCTAATGCTATGATGAAGCTTTGGGAGAAGAGTGCTATTGCAAAGATAGCCATCAAACGTGGAGTACAGAACACATGTAATGAAAGGATGGCAGAAGAACTAAAGGTGAGACATAATGTCCATCTACTTCTTGAATGTCAAGACGTTTGCATATTTACTTACACTACCATACATCTTGAATGTACATTTCATGCTTTGTTTCCAGCTTTTGGAGGCTGTTGACCTCACTTCATTTTCTAGCAGCTGCTCTAATTCCATCTACCCTCTGAGTTATGGATTCTGAATACCCATTTTTCTAATCATTTCTATTGCTGATGAGTGTTGCATTTTATATGTGCAGAGATTGACAGGGGGTACACTTCTCTCTAGAAACAAAGATTTTATCGTTTTTTACAGGGGTAATGACTACTTGCCATCTGTTGTCACGGGGGTATTAGAAGAGAGGAGAAAATTAAGAGATCTCCAACAAGATGAGGAAGAACAAGCACGACAAATGGCTGCAGACTATGTTGTGTCAAACTCCGAAGCTTCTAAACGCCAATTTGTTGCTGGAACCCTTGCAGAAACCATGGCAGCAACCACCCACTGGAGAAACCAACTGACCATTGATAGAGTCGAAAAAATGAGAAGAGATTCAACTTTTGCTAGACGTGCATCTTTAGTCAGACACCTTGAGAAGAAACTGGCTCTTGTAAGTCAAAAATGCTGTATATCTAAGTGTTGTACATAAAAAATCTGGTGCGCCAGAAAAACTCTCTTTTAGGAATTTCAAAATTGTGACATATTTATAACCTTGGATGAACCTAGGCAAAAGGGAAGCTCAGAAAGGCTGAGAAGGCTTTAGCAAGGGTGCAGGAAAGTTTGGAACCATCAGATCTCCCAGATGATTTGGAAACCTTAACTGATGAGGATAGGTTCTTGTTCCGTAAGATTGGTCTCAGTATGAAACCCTTCCTGCTTCTAGGTAAGAACTACTTCTACTTTGGATTTAATGAAGTCATTGGGGAGAGTTAAATGCTTGAGTTATTTCTATTTCAGGGAGGCGAGAGGTTTACTCTGGCACCATAGAGAATATGCACTTGCACTGGAAGCATAAAGAGTTGGTGAAGATAATCGTGAGAGGAAAAAGTTTTGAGCAAGTCAAGCACATCGCAATTTCTTTGGAAGCAGAGAGTGGTGGGGTGCTAGTATCTCTAGATAAAACTACCAAAGGCTATGCTATTATTCTCTATCGTGGAAAGAACTATCAATGCCCTCTTCCATTAAGGCCTAGGAATTTATTGACAAGAAGGCAGGCATTGGCTCGGTCAGTTGAACTACAGAGACGCGAGGTGACATTATAATTAATGGTGTTTGACATTTTGTATATATTAATGATGGCTATTATTTCATTTGTAATAGATTTCCTATCTTTTGCAGGCATTGAAGCATCATATTTCAGACTTACAGGAGAAAGTTGGGCTGTTGAAATCTGAACTAGTATGATATCCATTGCTTTGTAGTAATTTTGATGTGGTGGTGACTTCATTTGCTTTTCAGTAATGTATATTCTTCTGCTGTTAATTTCAGGAGGAAATGGGGAATGGGAGAATGGTTGATGATGGAAGAACCTTGCATTCAACAGGAGATGATCCTCTTATCCCCAGTGATGACAGCGAAGAGGTAAATAATGACCCACTATGTCACTTTGAGTTAGTACAACGTGCCTCTTATTATGTCAAGAACTGAGATGCTTCAAATTTTTCGTGAACCAGGATGAAGGGGAAGAGGCATATCTTGAAGTATATGATAGTGGCAATGAGGATAACAATAACGAACATGAGATTGTTGGATCTGTTTAGTTAATTCCACAAGCTGATTGGTACTTCAGAGTTGAAGATTGATCTGCAAAGGAGATGTATGCTGAGGGTATCAGTGGCAGTCTCCTATAAGATATCTGCAGAGATCTAAACATTAGTTGGGATGAACCAGAGGGTACAGCTGGATCTAAATGTTTGTTAGGTTAAACCGGAAACCCCTCCTGTAAGTTTCATTTATGATCCCTGTAGACCAGTACATGCAAGCTAGGGACGTTGTTCAACTTCAAACCAGTTTAGCAATTCAAGCAGCTGATTGATACTTCAGGGGTGAAGATTGCAGATGTCTGAGAAGATAGCTCCGATCAGCATTGTCTAAGTAATCTCAGTAGTTTTAACGGCGTGTAAACGTGTATTGAGTTTATTGTAAATACGTGATTTGTTAAAGTCTCATTTATTAATTATACGTTCGTCCCTTTATAAGTGCCAAAATTTTACGTTCCATGATGTTTCCTGGTTACTTTTGTTTTGAAGCAAATAATTTTACAGTTTTGATGTTACTATCATCCTACGTCAGTTAACTTAGTTACCAAACTTGTGGCAGATATGTATTCTGCTTGATAATAGGCTTCCATCCAACAATACATTTGCACATAAAGTCTGGTTTAATCATATTGATATTACAAGGAGATAAGACATTTCCACACCTTCCTTAGCCACCTTATTTCAGGAGTTGACTTCGTGACAACATCATACTCGTTACATTCAATCATGTTCTTGTATAAATCGTCGTCATTAAAGTGGTTTGTACGACAAATGCATCATATTTGAGTAAATGCCAGGAAACAACTCAGTTGGAAGTAGCCTTGTCCTGCTGCAGAGCTGCCTTTATGAAGTCCAAAACAACTGATACTAACTCAGCCTGATGTGAGGTGTAACAATGATCAGCCCCTTCTATAACATGTAATTTGTGGTTTGGTATTATCTTCGAAAACTCTAATGCATCTTCAACAGGGATGGTCTCATCAGCAGAACCATGGACTGTCAAGACCCTGTATATACAGAATTGCCCATAAACTTGGTTATGCAGAAAATTCAAGGAAAAAGCCAGAAAGATGAATATACAAAAATCAACCATAAAACAATGAAGACAAAATTAACTAAAGTTTGCTTACTGGCATTCTTTGTCAATCTGAAGGCATGCTTCATGCATATCAGTACTCAGGCGATCCATCAAACTTTCCTCAGTCACACGATAACTAACATCTCCTACAAGCATGGCATCCCTTAAATGTGTTAAAGGCCAGCATACACATTGTTTTTGTGTGTTTCTTTGTGTTGTGTGTGAGTGCGCGTGTCACTGAAAGCATCCAATCTTCTGGCATCTATTCAAAATTTGACCACAACTAATTACTATAAAAATCAATATCATCTCTAAATTTCTTAGTTGCAGATAATTTTTAAAAAATTCAAAGAAAAAGGAAGGGAGAAAACAGGTAAGTTGGTCCTTCATCATTCATCGACACTAGAACCACAGTAATTTATGCTCAAGAACAGGTTCAGCATGAACTCACAAATGAATTTTGTAATTCACCACACGTGATAAGAATTAGAAATTACCTGTCTTATTCTTGACATCAAGATATCCTTCCTTCTTGATTGTTTCCAGAAAGGCTTTCCCTAAGCGTTCTTCAATACCTCTCTGGAGATCATAACGTCCAGAAACATTGACAACCGTGCGAATGCCATGATACTTAGAAGGATACAGGAGCACCACATCACCACCTGTAGTAACAATTTTCAGCAATAATTTTGGTGCAAAATACAAAACTACTCTGTTTTCAATATGGTTTTGCCCAATATCAGCAGTTATAGATTTATCAACAATAACTTGGCTAACAGCTAAGCTGCTAAGATCATGTTGACCTAAAGTTAACTTTGGCTCCAGACATTGCCTCGTTCAAAACTTTCATCAATGACTAACACGTAATAAGAGTAACATTAAAATAAGTCTCATTCAAAAGTTTCATGAATGATAATTTATAATAGCATTTTTTCCTCTATTTTATTAAAGTAAAATCTCACATACATGCAAAACAATCCAACGCACCTTTACTGTGCCCAAGAATTGTACTTGCTGCACGGTTTGCCCCAGAGAAGTGTTGGATCACAGCATGCAAGTCATCAGCCTCTCTCCAATAGTTACCATACTGAAAGGTGCCTTCACTCTCCCTGACAACCAAAATACCATCAATATAATTTTTAGATCTCAAACTCCGGGACTTCCATAACATGACGGCGGTTACGAACAGCATGACAGAGACAGTGCCACACTCACGACTATGAAACTAAAGCACAACTGAACTCTTCACAAAACCCATCAACTAAAAGAATTTCAAATCCTGTAATACCACAGCCTTACCCATTTCCAGCAAAGTCAAAACGGAAGGCACTAATTCCTTCATTTTCCAATGCAATGGCAAGGTTTGTAATGGCAGTGGTTTCCTGGAAATCAAGAGACATAGGCTGTAAAACTTTGGCCACAATGAAACCAACTGAGCATATAATTTTCCATAATGAAATGATACAGAAAATAACTTAAATTTAAAGCATCCTAATCAAGCTGGAATTTCAGACCAAAAATTAAATTAAATTAAAGCTGGAATTGAACTTTGAAAAGAAGGGAAAAAGAAAAAAGCGAAGTCGACACTACATATGTTACAAAAGCCAACCTTGGTGGATCGAAAACCATGACATAAGATTACAATCTCCTCAGAACCGGTTTCATGTAATAGGCCCACGAGTTTTTCACCATGTTTGTTGGGTACAATGATTTTCTGTTGCCGACCCACTGAAACAACGCAATTCACAAAGCAACCTAAATTTCTTAGAAAGTCGATACCTTGCTGAATGTTCTTGGCACGAAAATAAAAATTCTTACCTGGGTTGTGTGCAGATTGTGCCATTTTCAAGATTCGTTTTGGGCTGCGATTTTGGTAAAGAGTAAATTTTGGTGAAGGGAAGCTTATGGGAGTGAAAGAACTTGAGAGCAGCATAGCATTAATGGAAACTATAAACAGAGTAACTATAAATCTTCAAAGCAATGGAAGTTACCTTCGGCCTTTGCTTGCTGCTCTTTTCGTCTGCAATGTAAATTTACAGAGCTCCTGTGAGTTTGGAATTGGAGCATCGGACCACTCAGACTCGGTCACTTTTACTTGCCAACAAAATAATGGGAATGCTACTAACTTTCTCTCTAACATTCTCTTTTGGACTTTCTCTATTTTTTGCTTGACATGTGTCATTCTCCTTACACTTAAAATAATGTCATTAATATATTATTCAAGCTAACTTTTACTTTCCAAGTTTATCCTTATTAAATGTATTCAATTTATCCTAAAAAATTTCACAACTTTCTCACCATCTTATTATTATTTTTTTTAACGTCAATTTTTTTTTAATTTAAGAAAATGTCCGCTTTTTAAAAAAAGAGGAATGCCCCTTTTTTTTAACGTCAAGTATAGACTCTTTTTTTTAATTTAAAAAAAAAAAGGACATTTCCTCTTCTTCTTCTTCTTCTTTTTTTAAAAAAACAAACATTTTCTAAAAAAAAATAAATAATTGACATTAATTTTTCTTTAATAAGATGGTAAGAAAGTTCTGAATTTTTTTTGGATAAATTGAATATATTTAATAAAGGTAAACTTGGAAAGCAAAAGTTAGCTTGTATAATATATTAATGACATTGTTTTAAGTGTAAGGAGAATGACACATGTCAAACAAAAAATGGAGAAGGTTAGAGCACTTCCACCCACAAGGGCTAAGTCTAAGGCAAGAGCAAGTAAGGGCTGTCACTATTCACGTGAATAGTGTCAACCTTTGCATCTATGGTTCTACCCAGCAAAGTCTAGGGCAAGTCTAAGGCAATTGCTATTCATTGTACTTTATTTCCTTTTTTTAAAAAAAATACTTTAAACCATTAATTTTGATAAGCTTTTTAGATTATATTTTCGGATGTCGCGTGTCACTATTTATTATAAAATTTTCACTTAAAATTTAAGATAACATTTTTCGGATAAGATTTTCAAATAAAATTTTCGGATAAAATTTTCGGTTGCCACATGTCCATATTTATTATAAAATTTTGACCTCTTCAAACATTTGTCCACGACCCTCCAGTTTCGATGGAAGATGACATTTGTATTTTTGCACAAATGAAATTTTGTAATAGAAAATTTGGTGTGGAAAGTGAAAAATATTTGAAGGAGATGAGTTTGTATGAAGATTTGGTGTGGAAAGTGAATAAAATTGTTAGGTATTTATAGGGAAAAAATCCAGAATTTTTTGGTATTTTTTTTTGAAAAAAATTTGAATTTTTTTGCAATTTTTTATGCCATTTGTTTTTTTTTTTAAATACAAATGGAAAGTAGTAGAAAAATGTGAGGGAAAAATAAAATGGTTATGTATTTATAGGGAAAAAATACATAATTTTTTGGTATTTAAAAAAAAATTTCAGAATTTTTTTGATTTTTTAGCCAAAACAACGAGGACCGTCGGATTGCTGGAAAATAAAGGATCGGAGAGTCAGGGTTGTGACACGTGGCACATTACCGCGCGATGATGTCACGCTGACGTCATCGAACTCGGGCTGAAGCCCAGTGGAAACCTGCCCTTGGGCTTGCCCGGGCTGGAAGTGGCGCGCTGGAGCTGTTTTGGGCCATCTGGGGGGGCCTTTTGCCCGGTTCTGTGCCTGCGGTGGAAGTACTTTTGGAGAGAAGGTTGCTAGCATTCCTCCAAAATAATATTGGGGTTTTTCTGGTTTTGGTCTGCAACAATATCTTTTTTACTGTTGAATCTCTGATATTTATGGTATTTGCAAAACTGTCAACTCTACCTGTTTTTTTTTTCTTTTTAAGGTTTTGTTTTGTTTTGTGTGTGTGTGAGCGTGTGCGCTCATTTAAGACTTTTTCCGCAACTTCCTTGGTCACCTTAATTTGAGAGTCAACTTTATGTGAAAATCTTCCTCCTTACATTCAATCACGTTCTTGCCTAATCTTCAACAAATTTGGTGATTAAATGCAGAATAAACTTATAGCATTTTGAGTTCATTAAGCTAGAAAGTCACAAATTACTGCTTCACATTTTGAGTTGAAACCATGACTGAATTTTGAGATAACACCTCAGATCACGAGGCAAATGGTTCACAATTACATCACGGAGTTGTTCATTGTTTCATGCCATTGAACAGTTTTCTCAGAATTCACCATGGCAAAGCATATGAATTTATGTACATGTATCCAACTAAATCAAGTTAAGAACCACCCAACTGACACGCCGACGGGTACAACACTACAGAAATTTATTATGCTGATTGGCATGGAGGATCTATTTGGAAGCAGCCTTGTCCTGCTGCTGAGCTGCCTTTATGAAGTCCAAAAACAATGATCAGCTCCTTCTATAACAAGTAACTTGTGGTTAGGTATTATCTTAGCAAACTCGAATGCGTCTTCAACAGGGATGGCCTCATCAGCAGATCCATGGACTGTCAAGACCCTGGATATACAGAACCGCTGATAAACTTGGCCACATAATAACTATTAATTAATCAACTATCTTTTCTTTTTTAATTTTGCACGATGTATGCTGGTGCCAATAGTTAATTGTTGCGAACGCCATGATCAGCTACTGCAATAATGTGAAAATGTGAATCACATGCAAACGATAGTTGATATTAAAAAACTGAAAGCAGAGCTGTCTTAAGAAGAGTATAATAAGTTAATCAGATCACTTGAGCTGTCTAAAAACTGAAAGCAGAGCTGTCTTAAGAAGACTATAATAAGTTAAGAAGAATATATAATATGATATGAGGTTAAATTACAAATTTCTTTTGGGTTAACAATTGGTGGTGTTGCCATCCGTTACCTAACGAGTTGTATCAAAACGTCAGAATTCTTTCATGTAGATGAAGACATAGCGTGGGAGCTATCTATTCTGCTGGATAATAAAGCTTCAACATCAAATGAGTCTGGTTTGATGTTATAAGTAGATGAAGAGATTTCCACAAATTTTGGTGAAACCGATGATAAATTTCATACTTTGCAGTAAAACTGCAGTCTGCAGCCAGAGATGAATTTAGTGCAAGTAATTAGAGGCTTTTGCGAATTCTCATTGCTAGCCACACAAATTTCATATAAATGCGAACAAGTACAACATTGGTTTTATTTTGAACATACAACAAATGAAATCAGCAGAGACTAAAACAACAATTCCAATTCACACAGGACATGATCATGTGTCTAGGAATATTACAATGACATTGACGAAAGTGCAAATAATCTTGCCTGACTAGTAGTAAGTCAGAAGGGAATACAAGGTTTGCAAGAAGGTAAAACCTAGGATCAAGAGCGCGGCAGCAAGCGAAAAGATTGACCATGGATTGCTGAAATAATCACGTCTGAGAATTGTTTGCCATCTGTGCCAGCGACCCTGATAATATGCATTCACATTCTTGGTGAGATTCTCGTAACAGAAATAGCCAACTACAGTGTCACTGTAAAGCCTATTGAAGAGACAGGCTATGTCCTCCTTGCTCAATTGTGTAAGTATAATTTTTTTCTGAATGAGAAAGTCCGCATCTGTGCTAGTGTTAATAAGGTTATCCAATATGACAGCGTAAGAGGTAATGTTACAATCTGTGATGCTTGGATCCGACTGTTCATAGGCGATGAGGTTTCTGAAGAGAGACTCTGCATTTTCTCCAATATCTATTGGTGGGATTTCCATAACTCCATTTTCAAAGGTTATGTCGAGCATGTTGTCCCAAGTATCACTTCTACGTTTAAATTCGACACCAGCTTGTAGAAGTTCTGTGACAGAAGGAATCGGTTCCCAATAATCATGAGTTTCTGCTTGCGGGGACGAGGCAAGTAAAGAGTTTCTTATGCCATCAAGTAAATGCTTAGTTTCCAATGGTCTGTCAGCCTGTGGATCCTGGCCGAATGCAGACACCTCAAAGAATTCCAGAGCAAGCAGGAGTAGAGCTTTGGATTTTGGTTCATCTTTTTCCTTTGTGTGGTGGAATAAACAGTCAACGACTTTCCAAGGAAGCTGGTTTTCAAGTAGAGACAAGTCTTTTCTAAATACCGACGTCATCCATGACGTATTAAACACAGGATCATCCTCGTTTCTGGGCACCTCTTTTGCATACTTGCGGAAGAGCTCCACGATAAAGCAACCATCAACCACCATCATTTCCACAAATTTTTGACTACTCATATGAATTTTTTCGCCATAACAATCACGACAGTCTTGCTCCATACTTTTAATGGCTTCTACCAAGTACTCCAAACTGGTCTCTGAAGTTGGCTTTCGATCAAGGAGGCAATGCAAATACCACAGCTTAATCTCTTGCATCACTTTCAGGTTCTTTTTTCCATGTTGAAATGGCCCTATTGAAACCAAATTTGGAACAAAAGCTTTTTCGTTATGCCTGCGCAACACGTTAGGGATTCTAAATATGCAACTTCTAGCTGTTGATGGAGGATCCTGGAGAAGCTTTCCTCGAATCGAGGATACTATTAATTCCACATAATTTCTATCTTTAGTCAAGGTTGCCATATTCCCATCATTTTCTGCAATCACATCATCTTTGTCCTCATCCTTAATTTGCAACACGGAGTGGTCACTGACATTGTTGTACTTGTATGCCATCTTGAACTCTTAACTCCTATCAGTTAATCTGTTTTTAATAGAAGAGAAATGGATATTGTTACAACCAAATATGTCAATAAAAGTACAAATATTGGAACAATATGTTTAGATGGAATACCTCTAAATCTAATCTGCTTAGCAGAAAATATCGAAAATAAAATCTAGTCTGCTTTATGCATGCCTGTAACACTTGTTTCACACAACTCTGAGGGATTGTTATTTAGAGATAAATTTCATGTTTGTAGTATATACGTTACCAGTAAGTAAAATCATGCTTATGTCACTGCTGCGTTGTAAAATTTGTGCAGGGTTTGTAGGAGACACTTACCAGGAGGATTGAATTTGATGCAGCTCTCCAATTGCAGGCTCTCTCTTTTGCTTGGAAGAAACTTGAGGAACGAGGGATTCGTCAGCCCTCTTCTTATAGCGACTTCTTCTTCTAGGCATCCTTACTGCAATAATGTGAAAATGAATTGAATTA